GGATGCACCGTCAACGCTCGCCACCTTCGGCACCCGGCCACGACAGCGGCGATGATACACAGTAGGAAACCAACCCCTTCGGTTTTCGATGTGACGGTCGAGACGGCAGGGAAGACTGCTGGGACGGCGCGCATCAGGAGGAGGAGGGCTGGGACGACCTCCGCAGCCAGCGACGCGCGACTGAGGGCGGCGAATCGCGCTGGGAGTCCAGATTCCGTGTTGACTTGCCAGAGTTCTCAGGCCGGCTGGACGCCGCTGATTTTCTCGACTGGGTTGCAGCTATTGAAACGTTCTTTAACTTTAAGCAAGTGCCTGACGATCGACGGGTCGGGCTGGCTGCGACACGTTTGCACGGGCGGGCTGCAGCTTGGTTCGCTCAACTCCAACAACGGCGGCATCGATTGGGTAAATTCCCTATTTCTTCTTAGGCTAAATTTCGTAGACATATGGAGGAGGAATTTTTACCGTTCAATTACGTCCATGTCATGTATCAAAAATTTCAAACTATTCGTCAAGGTAATCGTTCGGTTGATGACTACACTGAGGAGTTCTACAGATTGCTTACGCGTATTGATAGTCGGGAGACCACTGATCAATTAATTTCTCGTTACATTAGCGGACTTCGCAGTCCGATTCAGGACACCGTTAATATGTTCATCCAGATCACTCTTTCGGACGCCCATCAACGCGTACTCATGGCCGAACAACAGTTGGCACGACGGGCTTATTCGGCTTTCTTCCCGGCGAATCGTTCAGCCAACCCGTCAACTGGTCTTGGTGGGGCAGCGGTCGGTCCAGGGGCAGCAACCGGTACAGGGGCTGGCCGCGCGAGTTCGACCCCGGGGAGTTCCTCCGTGCCGGCATAGGTGGGTCCTCGACAAAGGGGCGAACTACGTTGTTTTTCTTGTGGTGAAGTGGGCCATAGGCAGTCCTCTTGTCCTCGTTCAGTTAGTGGCCGACAGTTATTTGTTGACGGGGCGGGTGGCCAGGACGACCAGCTCGCATATGATGGACCATCGGTGTTTGATGAGGATCCTTCGGAGACCGTCGAGGTTCATCGTGGTGACGTCGGGACGTGTCTCGTTCTTCGTCGTTCTTATCTGACACCGCATGGAGATTCGGATCCTACTAGCCAGAGGCACCAACGTTTTGAGTCTTCATGCACGATTGGCGATCGTATGTGTCGTTTTATCGTTGATTCAAGCTCGTGTGTGAAATGTTATGTCAGAAGAGGCTGTGTCCAAGCTTAGGTTGACCATGGAGCCGCACCCCAGGCCTTACACGTTAGCGTGGATCAGCCGTAGCAATGGTGTGATCGTCAACCATCGCGTCTTGGTCTCTTTTTCTATTGGCGCATCCTATCGTGATCAAATTTGATGCGACGTGGTGCCGATGGATGCCTGTCATTTGCTGTTAGGGCGTCCCTGGCTGTTCGATAGGGCGTTTATGTATGACGGTCGTCTTAATACCTACACATTCAGTTTTGAGGGTGTTAGGAAGATTTTGCATTCGGCCCCACCTCGTCCTATGCCTCAGGCCACTACTTCTCCAGTTTTCTTTCTCTCGCGTTCTGCTTTTGAGGAGGAAATGCGAACGGCCCACATTATTCTCTTATTATTGGCTTCCGACCCCACTATTGATCACGCATAGCCAACAACTATTCGACCACTACTAGATGATTTCTCGGATGTCTTTCCATCGGAGTTGCCACCCGGGTTACCGCCTTTGCGAGATATTCAGCACCACATTGATTTGGTGTCAGGAGCAGTCCTGCCTAATCGACCGCATTACCGCATAAGTCCTGTCGAACATGAGGAGTTGCGTCGGTAGGTGGACGAGCTTTTACGGAAGGGGTTGGTCCAGCGTTGCCTCAGCCCGTGTGCTATCCCAGCATTGTTAATCCCAAAGAAAGATAGCTCGTGGCATATGTGTGTTGACAGCCGTGCCATCAATAAGATTACAGTACGCTATCGTTTTCCAATTCCTCGTTTGGATGATCTTTTGGGCCAGTTACACGGAGCTACCATTTTTACCAAACTTGATCTTCGGAGTGGCTATCATCAGATACAAATTCAACTAGAGGATGAATGGAAGACGGCTTTCAAAGTTCACGAGGGCCTCTTCGAATGGTTGGTTATGTCGTTTGGGTTATCTAATGCCCCAAGTACTTTTATGCGTGTTATGAATCAGGCGCTGCGGGATCTTATTGGTATGTGTGTTGTCGTTTATTTCGACGACATTCTTATCTAT